AGGAACAATGTTCGCTACTAGGAGCAAAGGGCATCGCTACTAGGAGCAAGGACGCTACTAGGGGCTCCTGGCCGTACTACTAGGAACAATGTTCGCTACTAGGAGCAAAGGGCATCGCTACTAGGAGCAAGGACGCTACTAGGGGCTCCTGGCTGTACTACTAGGAACAAGGTTCGCTACTAGGAGTAAAGGGCATGTTTCGTGGTGCTTATAGGATTTTCCGGTTTGTTGGGCCTTATGCCGCCCACAATTGCTCACGCGAGACGATTCTATGTGCAAACAAGCCACAGACACCCCAGCTGAACCTCAAGTGAGTTTGAAAAGGGCAAAAAGGAACAGCTCCAAGTCAGGATGTCAATCAAATAGGTACTGTTTCGAGCAAATATAATGTCTGCTTGCGCTCACCTCCACTCTGTTCAGACCAGCAGGTTGGAATTGGTTGTTTGTGCCTTGTTTGCACTACTGTTGACCGGTGCTTGCATTATGGAGTGAATATGTGTCATGTCGAAAATCCCTTGATCATCCTTGATTGATCGTTACTAGTACCATCTAGTAACAAGGTACCATACTACTAGTAGCAAATAGCGACTAGGATCCAAGGGCGTCGCGGAGCAAGGACGCTACTAGTAATTCCTGGGCTTACTACTACTATAGCAAATTGCTTTGATCGTTTCCGATCGAGCTTTCCCCGCGGTGTCAAGGGCCGCGTGTGGGAAAGAAGCCCTTCTCCCCCGGCCGCTTGGCCCTGCAGACCAGGGTGCCACCACCCACAATGGCCACGCGATACTTCGAGCCCTGGGCTGTTGGAAGCAAACTCTGATGAGTTCTGGCAAAACACGTGGGCTGTTGGATCTCTAATTACATCAACTCATGATCTCTCCAACCAATTCGACCCTGGTGCACGTGCCGCACGGAACGCGCATGGCACTGGCACTCCCGACCCAGGAGGAGGGCGGCACTGGTACTGCCGCCAGGCCCAGCTGTCTGGAGAGGACGCCCAATGGGCTGGACATCTTGCGGGAGACGAACATGACCTCTGCACGAAGAAACACAGATTCTCCGCCCAAGTAGCGATGGCCTCCCACCCTACTAGTGATGACCTCCAAGTGAATGGCTGTGTGTCGAGCAAAAAGCCAGATCCTAAAAGAACGCGCTTCTGAAAATGCCCAAATCCAGAAGAAGGATCCAAATCACAGCTTCCACTGGCACTGGCTTACATGTCATGAAGATTCATCGGCGAATCGGGCAGGGCGGTGAAATGCGAATTAGCGACCATCGACCCAAGTTCCCCATCCTACTAGGAGCATTCGGACGCTACTAGGGGCTCCGTTTTTTCACCACGAAATCTCCTCCGTCAAGCGCTGAGGCTCCGAGCGTTGTTCAGGCCTGCAGGGCCCAGGAGGGGGGTGCTTTGAGCCGCTAATGCTGCGGAGCAGATCAGATGGAGAGCCGAGCGTAGACCCACAAGGACCTGGGTGAGAGAGGATGTTTTTTCATGGCCAAGACGCTGCAAAGCAGTGGACCAATGGCAAAAAGACATGTAAAAAGACATAAACAATGACAACCATTGGACCAAGACTGCCGTATATTGTACAGGATATTGTGGCACAGGGCTTCCAGAAGAACATCTCCAGCGGAAAAAAAAAAGAAACTGAGATCCAACGTTGAAAGTTGGGCCGTCTCCACGTTCCCAAATCACAATGCTCTCGTCCTTGCACGATGGACAGGCCGCATGAAGCGCCCCAGTGCGCTGCGAAAATAGCACGGTCACTCCAACGGGGGTCCTCCTATCGCATTGTCCACTTGAGAGGTCGACTAGCAGAGAATCTAGACCAGACCCCAGAGACCTGCATGTCCATCAAGTAGAGTCCTGGTCTTCATCCTAAAAAGGGGACCTTCCGTGGCCACGGCTGCGCCTCGGATCGGCCGACGGCTACGGTCCTTGGAAGATGAAGCCAAAAGTCGACCATCGTGGGTAATGGATGCAAACCACACCTCATCGCGATGGTGATCCAGCCTGACATCGAGGAATCGCGAGGAATCGCGAGGAATAAGGAGCGCTTTGTGGCAGAACCCCAACAGTGGGCCTTTGTGGCACTCTGAGACGAGATGCTTTTTGGTGAATCGAATCGATTTCACCGGTGGACTTGCAAGCCGGAAAGGTTCCGAGTGACTGGTCCTAATCCACATGTTGGCCATCGATAGTAGGTTGGAGGTTGGAAGCGTCTTGATCTACAAATGTAGCAGACGGATGTCCAGCCTCCCCACGCAGTGTGTGGGCAGCGGTGGCCTGAGGAGACGTAGCATAATGCTGTAGCATCCAAGGAAAAGAACTAGAGGTCTGAGTCAAGAGCGACCTGCTGAAAGGTATAAGTTAAAAAGTTGAAATTGTGTGTAGTATATGATACAAACATGAAAAAGAAAAATCTAGTCAGGGTGCTTTCAGAGTAGTGCAAGCCAGACCTCAAAAGGCTCCAAAAGACACCCGGTGGCCTTTGAGACAAAGCCTTGAGAAACAGCAAAAGCCTGGTGGTTCTCCCAAAAAACGTCACATCTCGATACGTCTCCGGCACTGCCCCGCCCAGTGGGCGCGCTTGGAGTGAATCTTCGATCTACTGCGCCGCCCTCCACGCAGCGAGAGCGCGATCCAAGGTGAGCACGGCGAATAGGAGTAATTCTTGATCAGGCCAGGGACCGTTGACCTGGAAGGGAGAACGAAAGGATCCTCAATGGATCCTGTTTGCAGAAATGGTCATGAATAGAAGAAGCTACGAACGTAACAAAAGGGCATCGCTACGAACGGAGCAAGAAGCTACGAACCTAGCTCCTGGCAATACTACTAGTAACAAGAAGCTACGAAGGAAATAGATTTTCAGGTTGTAGATTGCTCAATGGCTCTTGAAAGGCTTCCTTCCAAACCTCGGAGCCAGGTCTGCATGCTCAGGCCAAGACATGAGAGTAGGGTCCAAATCTGCATAGAGGCAATGGAGGTGCTGATACCTGAAGGAGCCAATTGCTTGCAAATCTGGCGCCAAGTCTGTCCCTTTTGTTTGCTAGAACAAAAGCCGTTTTGAAGGACCAGCCAGGGCTGTCTGGCTTAGTTCCGAATTGTGCAGGAACCGAATCAGATCATGCCGAGACGACCCGGACGCTTTCGCCTGACAGCTTGCCAGAGGAGCTCAGGAAGACGCCGCGGTGGGAGCTCCGGCAGTAATGCTTCCTGAGAGAACAGTGAATTGACAAGTGTTTACCCATCTTAGGTTGCAGGCCATTGCTCTTAGGTAGGAGGCCATTGCTGTTTGCTTGGACGCCATAGCTCTAGGTTCTTAGGTTGGACGCCATCCGTCTTGGGTTGGAGGCCATCCCTCTTAGGTTGGAGGCCAATGCTGTTAGGTTGGACGCCATCGCTCAGCTTGGAGGCCATTCCTATTAGGCGGTTTCTTCTAGTCCGGTCAAATCTGTGTGTCGTAAAAGCTTGGCCAAGCGGGCACCGGCACCAAAGTGAGCAGCTGCTCATATGCCAGAAGTGATGTCAACACACAGGCCCATGATTGGTTGAGATGCACAAGTCCCGACTCTCAGCCAAGTTGGAACCACAAAGCGTCCGGCGAATTGCAAACACAAAGAACGACCACACCTGCCCCGGAAGAGCTCTTCTCTTTCAGGAGAGAATGCAAGAAGCTACTAGGAGCAAAGGGCATCGCTACTAGGAGCAAGGACGCTAACTAGGACTAGGGGCTCCTGGCCTTACTACTAGGAGCAAGGACGCTACTAGGAGAGAATGCCATTCAAAAAAAAAGGAGCCAAAGGCACGGGACCGAACCCCCGCCCTTCTCGGACACCGACCGCGCGCCCAGCGGCACGCGAAATGTCACGCCCTCGGCGCCGGACCACTTTCTCCAGCAGCGCGTGTCGGTCTCGGGCATCTGCTTTGGCCTGGATCATCACCTGGAGACCTTCCATGGCGCTGTCCTGCGGAAAAGACTCGGACGCAGCGTCGTCACGTTTGGGCAGCTGCTTGGGACAGCTGTTTGGGGCTTTATCATGCCCCCGTATTTCAGAAAGCGCCTCTGGTCGCGATGGCAAATGGGCCAAAAGCACATCGGGCAAGTCTTCGGTGACTGGACCACTCACATTAGCTGAGCTCCCCAACTGAATCTGCAATCTCTTGGAAAACTTCTAGGGCTGCCTGGCTTCTGGTCACTTGTACCACCACAGGCCACTTACTTAGAAAGACCAACGGACTCAAAAGAATTCGCCGGAAGCGCTCAATGGTCGCTCGGAAGCACATGTTTCCCTTACAAGACTGGGGAATTCATTTCTCCGAGTCACAAAACGTTACAAAACAAGACAGTGTAAAGGCCACAAGTGTTTCTTTCATGTTCTGCTGGCACCTCCAAGTGACCCTTCTCGTGCAGCTCCAAGCATTTTTGCTCCAAGAGCAGCCGTCGTAGAGGTACCTGCGTACTCGTGCGTTTTGCGCGAGCGTTGCGATTCGCGGCAATGGAACAGGCTCTGCAATCGCTACTAGGGTGGAGGCCATCGCTCGTACAGAAACCTGACAAATTCATCCCTTAGTAGTACTTAGTAGCCTTAGTCATCCCTTGACACTGTTTCAATGCCAAATCACGGCAACGCTATGTCCAAAAAGTCCTCTCCCAGTCACCCCCGGGAGCCAACCCCAATGGAATGCTGATACCCAAACAAGACTTATCACCAAGAAAGTAGACCCAAAGAGCTCAAAAACCATTGGAACGCTAGTTCTAAAAGAGTGTGGGTTTGATTGACATACGTTTGTTGCACACCAATCCCAGTGGAACGCTGTAGAAATCGTTTGACGAAAATATTGGTGTAGACTCACCGCAGATGACCTAAGAGTTATGCCGCAGCGCCCCACAAGTCCTAGGGCGTCGCTTCTAGGGAGAGCCGAAGCCAACATGGCCATTGTTCCTAGTTGGCTTCGAATGCTACTAGTAGCGCCCTTAGTTCCCAGTAGCGATGCCCTTTGTTCCTAGTAGCGTCCTTGTTACCGATCCACCCAGGGCCCAAGCCCCTGCATCCGGATCCACGTAGCGCGCCATGTGAAGCGCCTCCAAGTCGTTTCGGACTGCCAGTACTGTCCAACATGCACGCGGATAGAAACAGTTGCTGTCGAGGAGCAGGATCTGAGGGTCTCAAAATTGACGGGAAACACACCAACTTTCGGGATGTTGAGTGGAAGGTTTCGCTCCAGTTGTTCACAAGCCCAAAAGTTCAGTTGCCTCATCCCAGTGACCGGCAAGAATCTCTTGCCTGGGCAAAATGCAGCAACTGGCCTTTGAGAGATAGTGGTGAACAACCAAGCTGTCAAGGGCCAAAACATGTGTCTGACTGTGCCGCTTGCCCAGCCTCAATCCAGCCACGGCCTCTTCTTGCGACGGTCCTGACCTCATGGCTATAAGGGAGTACGGCAGCCCAAGATTCCAGAAGCTGTTCAAACAACTCAAAGAATCAATCAAACACCTAACACCTCATCTCCATCCTGGCTCATCCTGACCTCTTTCACCAAGCAACTCCAGTTCCAAGGCCTCACGAGCAGCCTTGAAGCCGAGGTCAGACAAGGCCTGAAGACAAAGTCCAAGCGAAAAGGCCTCTCTGACTGCCTTGACTCGATTTGAAGGTCTGAGGGTGCTGATCACCCTCACTCTGGCCTGCTAGGTTGAAGGCCATCGCTCTTAGGTTTGAGCCTCTATAGACTAGAAGCGATGCACTTGTTACTAGTAGCTTCTTGTTACTACTAGTAAGGCACCTGTTCCTAGTAGCGATGCACTTGTTACTACTAGCGAGGCACTTGTTACTAGTAGCGAGGCACTTGTTACTAATAGACTCTGTTTTGTGCCCACCTGCTTCAACAATCGGACCACCTCACTTCGTCGGAAGCCCTCAAAGAGCCTGGCGAGTGCAGCATGTGGATTCTCAAGGTTCAAACGATGCAACAAGGGGCGTTCCATCATGGCTAGTAGTAACAAGCGCATCGCTACTAGGAACAAGTGCCACGCTAGTAGTAACAAGTGCCTTACTAGTAGTAACAAGAAGCTACTAGTAGCGTCCTTGCTCCTAGTAGCAAGGCAGCCAAAGCTCTCACAGAACCTTCAGCCTGGGACTCCCCGACTCTTCTCCGGATGAGGCGGAATCCAAACTCTCTCGCTCAGCCTCAGAACTGATGCGGCCAAACGGATGGAACGATCTGCAAGCCCGAGATCCCTTAGGCCAAGCGATGGCCTCCAACCTAATTGCATGCTTGTTATTAATAGCTTCTTGTTCCTAGTAGCAAGGCCAGGAGCCCCTAGTAGCGTCCTTGCTCCTAGTAGCGATGCCCTTTGCTCCTAATAGCAAAAGGAACCTAGAGAGTCCATTCTCAAAGAGGGTTGCAAAAGGGAGTGATAAGGGACCATCCCTTGCAAAAGGAAATGGCGCTGCATCAGCAGCCCTTCTGAACTGTTCACTCGGTGCTGGCTGTGCCAAGTGCCTTGCCAGCACTATTTGCATCAAAAGCATAGCAAGGTATAGCAAAGCCATGTCAAAAAGTGTCTTTGGACAGAAGCAACATAAAAGCTTGCGTCTCACAAGCACCTCCTCAAATCGACCCCCTTAGCCACGCTGAGCATCTCACAAGCACTCCTCGTGGCCTCAGTGAGGCTTCCAGATTTGGAGCGTGGCCTTTCTTGGTCTCGAAATGAACCTACTAGCGATGGCCTCCAAGCCTATCTCCTGAGGCCCCTGAAACCTGTGATTTTAGGAAGAAACCTCGGTCAAATCTGGGCGATGGGGCCGCTTCGCTGGCCACCGAAAGTCCCAGGCCTCAGGCATCAGTCTCCAAGTGAACTTCGACTGAAGACGCTCTGTCGGCTACCTTTGCGCCGACTCTACGAACGAATCCTCATGTTTCATCCCTCTTGTCAGCTCCCTCTCGAGGTTTTACAGGCCATCGCTAGTCGGGAGAGCTGAGAAGAGAGGCTGACCTCTCGACCCAGTCGCTCCCAGCCTCAGAGGACCGCGGCGCCGGCTCGGAGGTCCGCCTCAGGCGGCAGCCGGCCGCACTGCGCGAGAGACCCGCAGAGGTCACCCAGACCTCCGATTGTCCCGTTGATGCTGTGAAAGAATTCTATCCCAGGTGGGAGCAGGGCCGGCCCAATTTTCACCCGGAAAAACGAGATCCAAAATGCCACCAGCAAGGACGCTACTAGGGGCTGGCCTTGCTACTAGGAACAACAAGCTACTATAACCTCCTGGCACCACTACGAACGGAGCAAGGACGCTACTAGTAGCTTCTTGTTACTACTAGTAAGGCACTTGTTACTACTAGCGTGGCACTTGTTCCTAGTAGCGATGCGCTTGTTACTACTAGCTTCTTGTTACTACTTTTATCGTAGGTTGGAGGCAACGGCTTTTGGAGCCGTTTCTGTTGGTCTCCAGGCTTGGACGCCACCATGCGCCGCCGGCAACAGGCGCGATCCATAGGCCACGTGGTTCGAAGTCGCGGAGCTCGAAGAGCGAACCCGTGGTGCTTTTTGTGTAACAAGTGCATCGCTACTAGTAACAAGTGCATCGCTTCTAGTAACAAGTGCCTTACTAGTAGTAACAAGAAGCTACTAGTAGCCAGAAGCTACTAGGTTGGAGGCCATCGCGAGCGATTGGGGTAGGCCGTAGGTATGTAGCAGGCCAGGTAGCTACTCATTGTTTGGTGGATGTCGCACGTGTTTTTGTCCACCCCAAAGAAAGAAGTGTCTTCCTTCGTCGGGATGGGTTTGGATTTGGCATGCGGCAGCTTGGCGGGATGAATTCGCTGTGGATGCTGACTAGAAGGTTTTATGTTTGCTGTGGGTGAGAGCTAGATACATCTTAGACCTGCAAGTATCTGCAAGTGACCTTTTAGGGTACTCCTTTAGGGTGTTCTATCTGGATGGTAAGGTCCGCGGAAGCTGCCACTTCGAGCAGAACGGACCAAATGCAACACATGCCAAGCGGCTCTGTACTTCATTTGTTCTCCACTACACTGTCTTTTCTTGGTGAACCAAGTCACTGAATCAAACGTACCACATCAAAAGTCGCAGAAGCCCAGTGCAACTCTCCTCTAAAGAAACTAGCTTCAGCTAAAATGACAAGGACCAAAGTGGAAAACAACGCAACAAGGATTGTTGCGCAATGCCGTCTGCGCTTCTCATCTTCTCCGGTTTCGGATCGCTCCTCCTTTTTCGGCGGCACAGTGGTCAGAGCGAAGCGAGAGAGTCTCGCAGCGGTCAGAGCTCCGGACCACCTTGGGCACAAGCGTCACTCATGTGACACCGGTAGCTACTACTTACCCTGCTAGCTACTAGCTGCTAGCTACTTGTTAGCTACTTGCTAGCTACTACGGCCTAACCCTAGCGGTGGCCTCCAACCTAATTGCATGTGGCCTTTGCATGCCTTTGCATGCTGTGTCTCATGAGAGTCTCATGGCTCTCATGTCACTGACTCTGCTGGTCTAGTAGCGTCCTTGCTCCTAGTAGCGATGCCCTTTGCTCCTAGTAGCGAACATTGTTCCTAGTAGTAAGGCCAGGAGCCCCGTTCGTAGCGTCCTCTTGTTTCTAGTAGCGATGCCAGGAGCCTCCTGAACAGCTTTTTCCTCAGTTCAACCACTGCTCAAAGTCATCGCCCAGCCATTCGGTCACCGGCCGATGTGTCGACACAAAGTCGGGCCAACCGTAGACCTCCTCCGCTCGGTGGGGATCTGACCAGAGGGTGATCTTGAAGTCCAGCTCTTCGCTCTGTTGGAAATACTCCGGGACATCACATCGGGCGATGAAGCCTGGACATCGCACGGGTTGGCGGTTGGAGGCCACATGCTATTAGACCGTTGGAGGCCGTAGTAGCTAGCAAGTAGCTAGCAAGTAGCTAGTAGCAAACTGGTAAGCAGTAGCCTAAGTAGCTACTGGACGCGCCTTCCAACGGAGGCCACAAATAGCGCCCCCACATCGACAGTCGATGCTCACAGCCACCTGGTGTGGACTTCTTGAGCACCTGCAACTCCACATTCTCAAAGCGCTTCATGTCGGGTCGGGTGACCAAATCCATGACAACCTGACTGACTTTAATCTTCGGAGGAACCTTTCTGCTGGACTTCTCGCTCTTTCCCAGGGCCTGACACTGTGCAACAGCTGAAGGGTGCAACGTTCCGCAGGCTTCATAACACATACAGCTGCAAGCGCCGGCTGTCAGTGCATCTTTGAATCTCTTGATCCGTGAGCTCTGTGTGGTCCTCCAATTCACTTTCACTTGTAAGACCATCCAATTTTTCCACATAGCTTCCACAGTGGAATCCTTGTCCATCTGATGAATCGCCAGTGACGTGATATCGGTCACACCCAGCCGCTTCAAATGTTCATCCTTCAAGCCACCCAAAGCTCCAGGCGAGCAGAATTTCGTCTCATAAATGTCCTGCAAACCGAGAACGACCTGCGACAAGGGATGCCGGTCATGGAAATGCTCTGGACCCTCTGAACGCCAATCTCGGATCTGAAGCCTCAGCAATGACACGAAGAGCGCCTTCTCCCAGTGCAGCCGGGTGCTGGTCCAGTTGATCTCTCGTTTGCCACGCGAGGCATCCAGAATCTCCGGCCACGTGGAAATGAGACCAGCCTGATGACTCACATTGGCCATGCGCCAAAGCATGCTCCACTGAAGTGCATCCTCTTGCGGTTTCATGTCATCAAACTCTCCTTCAACCAGCTCCTGAAACCGTGTCGTTCGGGTCCGAGCGCGTTCGAAATGTTGGAAGGCCGGCCTGAGGTTCTGGGGATGCACAGTACCGGAAGCGGTACCAGTCACAAACAAAACGGAACAACGGCGAGTGGACTTCAAACCCACACCCCCAAAATACAAACCGACCCTGTTGTAGCTGACAGTGTGGCCCCAAACTCGAACGTGCGATTCATCACGTCGAGAACTGCATTAGGCGGAACTGGCCGTTGAAGCCCACACAAAAAGAAGAAGGGTTCGTAACAAGTGCCTTAGTAGTAACAATAAGCTAGTAGTAACAAGTGCCTTAGTAATTACAATTCTAATTAAATTCTTATTGGTACTACTAGTGCACTTGTTACTAGAAGCGATGCACTTGTTCCTAGTAGCGAACATTGTTACTACTAGTAAGGCACCTGTTACTACTAGTAAGGACGTCCCACAGAAGCAGTAGCGCCACCTGCGCAAAAGCATGACCAAAACCTCTCCGAATCCCATCCTGCCACATCTCTTCGATCTTCCCAAGCATCTCCTTGGGTCTTTGCATCAGGGGTTTCACCTTCTCTTCCGCTTGTAACTGTGCCACGTTCACATCGTCCAGGTCAAAGAAGCCCTTGCCGCCCACGGACTCTGGGTCCAAACACTTGAGATCTGCCGCGCAATAGGCCACCACATAGGGCAAGACATCGACGCACGGTCTGGTGTACATGGGATCAAAATTGATCGTTTTCCCATGGGACTTCAGTGCAGCCGCCCAAATCTTGTCTGAGAAGACTGGCAACTGGTCCTTGCCCGTGTCCTCTGTCTCGGCCGACCGGGCCCGACCGGCAGTGATGTATGGAGGGCCTGGCTTTTTCTGGCCTTTAGACGCCTGTCTCTTTAGACCTTTCGGCTATTCAAGCCTATCCTTTCGACTAATACTGTATTCTCTCCTGTTACCTTTTGACTTGTCTCTTTGCTGTTTCTCTAGAACTCCTGCCTCAGACCTCTAGACTTGTTCTTCATTATGCCTTTCTTTCTTTTGAGACGCTTTCCGCTTTCTTTCTTCCTTCTGTCCTCCGCATCTACTCGGTTGGCAATCATGGCACATTGAAGCTCATTGAACCGTTCAGCTTCGCTGGCACTGCTGTTCTCCAAAATGCCTTTCAAGTCATCCTCGCCCAGCTTATCAAAGGCCTTTTCCAAACCTGACAATGGGCGCAAAGCATCGGGGTTTTGCCGTAAAGCCAAAAAAGAAAAGAATATCACAAGAAAAGCCTCCGTAACACTCCATCTCAGAAACAGCTTCCTTTGGAAGTGCAGCGAAGGGAGTTCATGAGCTCATCATAGTTGTACCCGAAGTCGATCGAACCAAAGGTTCCTTCTGCATTGTGCATCAAGGGCCACCATTTCTCACTCAAGGCCTTCTCCATGAGTCGCTGATAGGTTCGGGCAGTGCAAGCCATGAAGGGCTGCTCATGTGTACAACCATCCAAATACGGTTGCCGCTGCTTGTCCATGGCCTGCATACAAAGCTCCATGGACCCCAAGTGTTGAAATCCCTTGGGCAAAGCCGAAAGGCTGACGGAGGGAATCAAGGCATAAAGAGCTCCAGCCAAGTTCAGCAGCGCGGCGTTCAAGATGGCAGCTGCGATGTTTGGGAAGGAGACCGACAAGGAAATCAGGAGTGTACTGCCTGCGGTTTGAAGAGCATCCCTACAATCCTTGTTCTGAAGCATGTCCGGTAGCCGGAGCTCAGCCATCTGCTGCATCCTCTGAGTTTGTGAAATGAAGTCTTTCTTTGCTTTTTGCAGCAAGTCCTCTTCAGGGCTCAAAATAACGTAGCCCCTAGTAGCATCGTTGCTCCTAGTAGCGATGCCCTTTGAACCTAGTAGCGTCCTTGCTCCTAGTATTATAAAATGCTTTCATGGAAATGCCAGAATCCTTGATTTAAAAAAAGTCGAAAAAAAGTCAAAAAAAGCAACTGGAAAAGTCAAAGTCAAAAAAAATGTCAAATTGAAAAGTCAAAAAAAGGTCGAAAACATGTCAAAAAAGGTCAACCATAGACCACAGCTCGAAAAAGTCAAGAAAAAGTCCAAAAAAAGTCGAAAAAAAGTCAAAACTGTGGCTCCTCGCCTTGGCGGATTACTGGAGTCAAGAGAAGTCAAAAAAGAAGTCAAAAAAAAGATGAAAACAAGTTAAAAAAAAAGTAAAGCGTAGACCACAGCTCGAAAAAGTCAAAAACAAGTCAACAAAAAGTCAAAAAAAACGTTTAAAAAAAAGTCAAAAAAAGTCGAAAGAATGTCGAAAAAGGTCGGATCTGGGCAATTTGACTTTTTTTGACTTTCTGGTTTTTCTGGATTTGACTTTTTTTGACTTTGACTTTTGGGATTGACTTTTGGGATTGACTTTTGTTTGACCTTTTTTTGACTTTTTTAAAATTTTGAAAACAGGTTCTTTCCAATGAAAGCATTTTCTAATCCTAGTAGTAAGGCCAGGAGCCCCTAGTAGCGTCTTTCTTTGCTTGTTGCAGCAAGTCCTCTTCATGTTGCTCTACATCTTCCACATGACGCTCCAGCAGGGACAGGTGTTGCTCCACCTCTTCAGGTGACTTGTCGGAGAAGTGATCTCGCAGTGCCTTTTCCACCAACTTCTCATGATAGCCCTCTGCTTCGGTCTCCCATCCTTCCTCCGCTTGCGACTCGCAGATTTCCGCCAAGGAACTTCCGACATGATCCGGAGGGAAGAAGCTGTCGAAGCGTTCTTGCATCTGCTGTCGAACAAAGTCGGGCGCATACTCGTAGCCAAAGACGCTGCGCTTCACATCCTTCAACCACCCAATGACCTGCGCCAAGTAAACAAATGCTCTCTTGACGACCCCATGCTCCTATACATCATGTGCCTGACCATACATAAAGATCAACAAAAACTGTTACTGGTAACACCGCTGCCGACCTTCCGTACAGCTGCTTTGATCTTGGCCCACAGCGCTTGGACCTTGCTGAAGGCAGAACAAACGGTGCATCGGCCACACATGGCCATCTGACGCATGTACGCAGCAGGGATGCCCAGGTAGGTCGCCCGCAGGGCGGGAGCCTAAAAAAATGAGGCAAGCAGGGCGGAAGAGGATGCTGTGCTTGGGACTTTGCAAGCTTTGGGACAAAGAAAACAAGTGTTTCTCTTCCAAGTTCTCTTTCTTCTCTTTTGTCTTTGTGTCTTTTTACTTTGTTCTTTACTTGCGTTTTCTTCTTTGGTGTGGACCGCAGTGGACCAGACCTGTCTCGTCTGAAAGTGAGAGAGCGGAGTCGAGCCAAGGAGCCTTTGCTTGTTGTTGGCATTTTTCCTTATCGCTCTCACTGATTTCCTCACTGAAGCCACAATCTTCCAAAACGGCATCCACCTCCTCGGACTTCTCCCAGGGCACCTTCTTCTTGGGCGCACAGTAGTAGCTCACACTGTATCCAGGTACCTAAGAGCACGCTGCCAAACCAGAGAAACCTTTCTAGAGGGGTGGCCTCCTAACCTCCTAGCGGTGGCCTCCACCCATGGCATGCGATGCCATCCAGGTAACCGGGATCGGTGGGAAGATGGACCACGAGATCGCGATGCTGCGATCCACATCCACTAATCCACAGGCGCGGCAACTGCCTCGCTCGATGCGAACCGACGAGAACGCGAACTTCGTTTCGTTTCGGACCGGTCGAGCGTTGCGGTCGTGAAGGGGTTTCCGCATCCTACATGAAAGGGAAGTCCAAGACCAGCGCAGGAATCAAAGGAAGAAAGAATTCTGACCTCTTCTTACAGAGCCCTTCTGACTTCGACTTTGGTCCACAAAGAGTGATGGTAGCTACTGGGTACTACTAGGAGCAAGGACGCTACTAGGGGCTCCTGGCCTTACTAGTAACAAGAAGCTACTAGTAACAAGGGCATCGCTAGGTGGAGGCCATCGCTACTAGTTAAATCTCTTCAGTCCCACGTCATGTGCCTGAATTGTTTACCGAGGCATACTCCTCCGGCCGGGTGCGCTCAGCTGCCACACGCCGGGAGGCGAAGGCCACACACGCGAAGGCCGCGAAGAGCAGCAGCTTCATGAATGTCGAAACGTCCGATAGATTCGCTAAACAAAGCTTAAGATCTGTGCCAAAACGCCAAAGGCGGACGTGTCCAAAAAATAGAAACCATGGACGAACCATCCAGCAACACGACCATCGGTCAGCCAAGTCTTTCAGCTTAGCAACTGCTTGGGGCTGCAGCAACGCGGAACTCAGCAGCACTTGGCAGTCCATGGGAATCCTGCCTGCGCTGCTATGGCATGAATCTCGGCATGGTGAGGGAATATCAAATTAGAAACAGTTGGAAAAATCACGGCTCAGGCTGCTCATTGCTCAAGAGCACTTGGAAAAGAATCTGCAGCACACAAAGGATTCGTCCGACATGTTTGTATAGGAAACAAGAAGCTACTAGTAACAAGTGCATCGCTACTGGTAACAAGTGCCTTACAAGGAGTAACAAGGTTCGCTACTAGGAACAAGTGCATGTTTGTATAGATACAGCTTTTGCCCATTCCGTCTGAACGGACTGGTCAACCACTCGTCGAACGCGCACGTCAGCTGATTTCTCCAGTCCTGGGATCCTGCAAGGTCTCGCCTGGTCACGGTGCCAAGAACGGGCCATAAGGCCACCATTGACAAAACACGTTTGCATAATCATAGTATATGGCTTTTGTGTGTCAACTTTCGTGTTCCATGAACTAATGCCATTCGCTTCGCATGAATTCGCATGTTGCGAAGGTTTGAGACCGATTCCTAGCATCTTCGTCCAATTGCACATCCTTCCGCAGCACTGTTTGTGGAAGGGAGACCAAACGGACAAGAAAACCATCAAACGGGGGAAACAAAGACCAGGAATAAAAGATGTCGAATTCGATGAAGCCTGCCTGCATTTTCTCATCTCCACAGACGCTTCTGCAGCACTTGCAGCAGTGCGAACAGCGAACAAAAAGCCTTGGTGATAGTGCTTAGCTCCAATGAGACCTGGCAAGTTTGGAGCCTCATATTCAATTCTGCACTTTGGTTTCCTGCACGAACATGCCAATAGAAGAAAGAGGTTGACGCGCTAGCAAATAACAATTATGAGGGTGCAGCTAGCTGAAGAATTAGCTGAGCGGCGAGGGTTCCACCTGTCCATAGCTTTCACAGCTCCTTCTTTACTTCATGTTGCTTCCGATAGCAAAAGCACCATGGCTGATACTTGGCACGAGGCTACTCACATCGAATAAAAATAAACCAACTGAATCCGAAAAGGGAGAAAACCACATTGCGCCTTGACACAGCATCTGTTCGGCCACTCTTCAGGCTCCGTTGCCTTGGCCGGCGCAGCGTGGTCAACAGCGTCAGAAAAAACGGTGACACGGCGGCTTCGATGTAATAATATGAGCTGCTGTCTACTTAAGCAGTAACAAGTGCATCGCTACTAGGAACAAGTGCCTTACTAGTAGTAACAAGGTTCGCTACTAGAAACAAGAATTAAAATCGAAATAAATTTAACAATAAAGTCATCATCTAGATCTCGTCGTCCGAGATCTGAAGAAACGGAGATCTACAGCGGCGTTGTGTATGGCGCGAAGAAACACATCACGCCCCCATTTTCCCCCTTCTGCGGAAGGTCATGGCGATTCACACCCAAGCCCCTGAATTTGCCATGACATGGCTACCCCATCTAGGCGCCCATGATCTCACAGGCGCTTCTTGCAGTCGATGCATGTCACACCACGGCCGTGGCCATTAGCCCATCGCCGAGTGCGAGGATGGAGGCATTTCTGCTGGAGCGTCTCCAGCGAAGTGACGCCACTGGGCAGATTGTAGTTTCGTGCGCGAGAGGCCGCTTGGTCCATCAAGGCCTAGTGGAACGGAGCATTGACAGTTGCGACGCGCCAGATACAAAGAGTCCGAACGCTCCTAGTAGTAAGGCCAGGAGCCCCTAGTAGCGTCCTTGCCCCTATCTGATCTGCAAAATGGGTCCTTTGACGAACCCACTTAGGTCTGATGTAAATCTAACTGTTGAGATTGATACTCAGCGCGCTTTCCCCAAAAAGAACCCTTACCCTTGCACCGACAACTTGCGCCTTCACTTCAGCCTCCTTCGCGCGCAGCTGTTCCATTTGGAACCTGCGGGTGTTGTTGTCACTTTCTCGTTCTTCTCGATGTCTTTCCATTTCTCCGCGCAAATGCTCTTTCTCCTTTTCTAACTTGTCCCTCTCGCCTTAGCTCTAGGCACTGACGCTAACCAACACAACTGCTTTGCAAGACAAAACACGTTGGAATACGACGGTTTGCCCAACGGATATCAATGGCTTGCCAGAAACATCCAGCTCAAAGCCATAAAGTTCACATTGCTCAAGACGAAATCGTTCCCCCGGCCGTCCATTATCCCACGTCAAGTTACTTGGCAACTGGAGGTTTTGTGCCTCAAGCAAACGCAGCCGTTCTTGCAACTGCTGCTGCTTCAGGCTTCGGCCGTGTTCTTCACCTTTTGCTGGGTCAAAGATGGCATTGAATCGCGACTTGGAAGGTCGATGTCCATTGAATTGAGAGGGGACGCCTAACTGTTGGAGGCCATCCCTTCTAGGTTGGAGGCCATCGCTACTAGGGTGGAGACCATCGCTATTAGGTTGGAGGCCATCGCTAGTAGTTGGAGGCCATCGCTACTAGGGTGGAGGCCATGTGTTGCAAATCTCTCTGCCCAATCAATTTGCTGTGTTGCCAAGAGCTCAAAGGGTTTGTCGGGGAATGAGGGGGAAATGTCATGTGCATCATTGCTTGCAGTACGGAAGCGTACGAAAGGATAAGTGTTCAAGTGCCAACATCTCTATAGCACCCAATTGAAGGTGCTGCTATACAGGAGAAAAGCACTGTCAGAAGCAAACAAGTGCGAGTGACCTTCCAAACGCTCCAATTGCTCTTGCACCATCTCGCACTGCGCTCTCAACTTCTCCTTCTCTTCTTGCTCAGCGTTCAACCGCCTTTCGAGTTCTTTTCCTTGGTTTGGCACGCGGAGTTCACACATGGAGTAGAGTTTCCCTTTACAAGCGGTGGTCTCCATGTCCCCATGTCTCCACGCCTGCCTCCTCGTCAAAAATGGAAACAGGCGCGGCGTTGGTTCTGCTCACAGCACACAATTCAAGCGCTTACGCCAAGGTTCTAGATTCCTCTAGCTCTTTCTGGAAGACCTCCTTGCTGACGCCCAGTTTTTCGCTGAGCACTGCTGCCATTTCAGCAGTATCTGGCGTGGAATATCTCACTTTAATGTCAGGGAGCGCTGCAATGGCCCTTTGAAGCTCACTGTAGTCGTCTTTCGCAGTGGTCACGAACGTGCCTGAGGAAGTATCTCTCCCAAGCTTCCCTTGTTTCGCCAAGGAAGCTGGATATATGTTACACTCAAGTCTTAGTTCTCAGCTTCGCTCACATCCTGTTTTCAAAAGCTTGAGCACAAAGAACTGGGCCTTTTCTGTTGGGCGCCATGGCAAAGAACTGTGCGGCGATCCCGACGGGCTGTCCATCCTCGTCCAAGCGATCTGTGCCAAAAAGATCGAGCTCGTCTGGCGTCGCACGGTCGCGCTTCGTGCCGACGAGAATGATGTTCTCCCATTTATCTTCCTGGATTTGCTCCGAACATGTGTGGGATGCGTGGACAAGAGGCAAAACAGAGATCTCGTCATCCAAGAGAATCGCTGTGTTAAGAGCAAGTACGTAAGCCTGTTCAAAACCTAGCACCCTCAACGAAGAAAAAAGAATCCAAGAAAATGTTCAAAATCATTGAAACCCTTCAGCATTCAATTCGTCTTTTACAGGTTTCCATTCAAAGAACGATGTGGCAGCCAATGCATCTGAGCCGCGCCGATGAAGCCATGCTCCACCAACAACTGAACCACCTGTGCGCCCAGCTTCACACGGCCGTCCGGCACCGGTGTGGTGACAATGACGCCGTCAATGGCATCGGCTCCGTTGATCTCATCCGACATCAGCCTAGGTCCGGGTTGGCCACCAAATGAAGTAAAAAAGATCCAAATGAACAGAAAAATAAAGAATAAAAGAAAGGAAAAAGAAGAGAAGCAAGCGACTCTATGACTCTATGACCAACACAATGCCAAGGCAATTAAGCATTGGAAAGCCTTGGTGTATTTGTGGTAGGGCCGGTTGGTTCTTGCTCCCGCTTTTGCCAAGGGGCTCCTGCTCAATCAACGTCAGCACCTTCATTGGAGTGACATCCATGTCTCCTACGCCTGGCGTATCGAGATAGTCCACCTGCATGCCATCAATTGGCAAACCAACCTTGGATCTTGCAAATTGGCTTCTAGGTTGGAGGCCACCACTAGTAGGTTGGAGGCCATCGTTGGAGGCCATCGCTAGTAGGTTGGAGGCCATCGCTAGTAGGTTGGAGGCCATACCTTGGATCTTGCAAATTGCCTCCATGAAACGAATCTCCAAATCATTTTCCGTGTTTCTGAAGACATAAAAACGATCGACTCATTTGGTCTCAAGCGTTGCTTTCCGGTCGATGCAAGAAACAAAGGCCTCGATGCTCTTCGTGACTCCGCGCGAGCAAAGGCCCGCCTTGGGCTCACCACTGCGCAATGGATCCCGTAGGGCATTGATGAGCGTACTCTTCCCATCACCACATTCGCCCACCACCAGGAAGATCTTGGGGCCAGCCAGCTGACGCTCTGAGCCGAGCTGGCTTAGCCCTTCGCTGACAGCCTGGGCACTTCGAGGTTTCAAGGACTACAGGAAAACTAAATGACAACAAGTAAACAATGTTCTTTTGAGCTACTAATAGCCTTCGCCTCCAACCTAGAAGCAATGGCCTCCAACCAAATACCAATGGCCTCCTACAAACTTTGTATATTGCCACAACGCTTAACTCAGAAGCTGGTCGTCAGATCCAGTTGAAACAGGTATGCAAAATGCAATGTGATCTTGGTTTCTGTACATCTTGGTGTGGTTCCTACCTTTAAACAATGAAACCTGCATTGCTGTAGTCGTCTCTGCCCACTATTGAATACTACTCCACGAAAATCGTCCATAGCATGGTCCAAAGTAGGCTTTGCCAGCATCTGCCCAACCAAGTCGCAAAAGTACTGGCCTTCACTATCCAAGTAGCGCTCGGGCCGGGCTGGAACGTGATAAGGACTCTTTTTGCCAAACTAGCCACCACATCGAAGCCAGCTTGAAGCGAAGTGCGCTTGAGGCTACTCCTTGGTCGCGTAAAAGCAGGCATCACGGCAACTTTTCGCGTTGGGTCATCCAACCGGTGAGCAAAATCGATCAAACCCTAAACCTTAACACCGATCGTAAGAACCCCGATCTGCGGTGACCACTCGGACACGTGCCTCTAAACACGCCGTGTCACCGCAGAACGCTTGCCACCGAGGCACCCACTGACAGGCGAGGGCACCATCAGCGTACAGAGTTCGGGTGCTCACTGCACGAAATGAAGATGGAATCACAAATTGACGATGCAAAGGGACTTATATATATATATATAGCCTAGCTGGTTTTCGAGGTACACGCCAAGCATCCAATTTGTGCAATTTGCCAGCTAAATGTGCCTATGTGCTCTCCTACAATGCGACTAAGGGCATGAAACACGTTCTTAATGGTTTGTTTCAGAGGGGACTCTGAGCCACCCTGCAAGGCACATTCATCTATTTGCCCAAGTGAACTGACCTCCAACTGGACTTCCTGACCTCTAACGATCCTCACTGCAAGTGCGAAGCCTTACGGCATTGCGACAAATCCACATCTGGGCGCTGCGCTGGCCCGCTGGCCAAGCCAGGTCGGAAGGGGACATGTCGCGTCGACGCATCCAAAACCTGCGCCAGGTGACACGGTGGTGAAGGGGCGCAGGAAACCTCGAAGTCCGTTCTCCCAAAGAGGCGCTGCGTATTCTGGCGGTTTCACTCATTCTATGCAGGTGTTCAGTCCATGCAGGTTATGGTGAATATTGTTTGATGGAAAACCTGTCTTTTGCAGGTATGGTTCACGTGCACTTGTACGGGTGGTCAAATGTACAAATCTCCACATTGAGGAATGCAAAACCAAAGCTTTGCAGGTACTATATCCGCTTTGAAACCCCTCTCGCCCAGCAAAACAATCTTCACGCAAAGAACAAACCAGCAGATGCCACATGTTTTGTCCACAAGGTAGCTACCTGGAAGGAAGAACCATGTGGGTCCGTCCCAGCTTCCAACAAAAATAGGTGGGCGCTTGTGCCGAATGTCCAGAAAACGCAGTGTCCAGAATGTTCAAAACAACTGAGGGAGACACTGGACACCCGTCAACCGATTTCGGTCCTGAGCTTGTCAAGGTCCTGATTCTGTCCTGAGAGCCACACCTGAGCAGCTGTGCAGCTGTGCAGCTGCGCTGGACCTTGGACACCAACTAAACAACCTTGACAAGGACTGCTTTTTGGTATCCTTGGAAAGTCTAAGAGATTGCACAAAAGAAGCAAACAAGTATTGTCTCAAAGGGTGCACCTTCGAATCACGTTCTGAGGCTTAAGACTTAAGACAGGCTTAAGACTGCTATCGCGCCAAGCTGCCTTCATCGGCTTGCAAGCCCTCACGTATGGGTTCGATCTTGCACTTGAAGGGATTCTACGGACGATGAGGACACCTGCATCTCATCAAATGCACCATAGAGCACCCAATGTCCTGCGACTTGCAGCAAGCTCTCAGCCTGCTTCACTTGAATCTCAGCTTGCTGTAAAGATATTCCTCTGCTGAGAGGCTTTTGTGAGTCGAAGAGACTCCGGTAAAAATGCTCGACGAAGACGCTCGCCGAGTTGTCACTTATTTTCGTCAAGCAAAAGGCAACAGATCTCGCACCTGCCAAGTAAAATGCCTCCGCTGTGGCTCGAGTGACCTCGCAAGTTGAAAGTACAACGAGCTCAGTTCCATCCAAATTCAATGCCAAAAGCTCTTCAGAAGAGGTGATGTGGCCTGAGCAGCGACTGGCAGAGTCACAAAGCACCAGTCCGCCACTATAAGATGCTGAAGAAATATGGAGAATACTGGGCACATTCACTTGTTGCAAAGCTTGTATGGACGCATCTTTTCCCTTGTACAGCTTGACAGCTCCAAACTGTTGGTTCAACCACATGGAAACCTTCTCAGCCTCCGTTTCAACTCCTGGAAGCTCTACAAAATCAGGAACATCTGCGGCAGCAACGATCACTGGCGAGTTTGGAGATCTCGAGGTTGGACCAGTTTGTAGCAAGTCAATTGCCCCAAACAAATATGTAACTGACAGGTGACAGGCCACAGCTGTGTCATCCAATGGCCATGGCAACGAACCAAAGTGCAAGGGGAACAGCATATCATCTGGCGACACCAACAAGTGTGTACAGTTTGTCTGCGCTAGCACGGGGTCTAGGATGAGTCTGCGGAGGGGCTCCCCGAGCTCTTTCTGCAGTCGCCTCCCAAAGACGCGTCTCTTCTGTCTCTCAACAACTGGATTCAAGCGGCACAATACCTCATTACTGCTTTCCAATCGAACAATTTCTTTCACTCCACAAGAGACCACAAATACATACAAGTCAGATTCAGCTGCATTCTCTGCAGCATGTGCTCCACTGACCTGGCAGTAGTCTGCCAGTGCTGAACCTGCCGGAAGTCTTGCCTGCATCTTTCTCAGAAGGTGGGCTGGGTCATCGTTACAAGCAAGATGCAACCCTTTCATTAGTTTGACAGTGCAATTTCTGGTGGTAGCATGAAGGCAGCATCTCTGCCAGAAGACTTCTTCAAAGCATGCATCATGCAAGGCAGGGCAGCGGGCACAGACAGAGGCTAAAGCGAGGACTGCCAGCACCCAACCTGCATCTGCTTCCAAGCTTCTGAGGCATTTACGATTGAGTAGACGTGTTCTCAAGCTGTCTCTGCACTCCCGGCAAGCACGCAGCCAATCTTGCAGTTGTGCCCTGAACACCAGGGCAGCAAAACTCTCGATGTCAGAGTCAGGCGGGTCACCAGCTCCCAGTGACTCAAGTTCCTCTAAATCATCAACCAGTGTTGAGCACAGATCCTCTGGGAGCTCTTTTAGCCAAGCGCCGCCTCGGAGCAAGGGACGAGGCTTGCAATAAAACAGCAGGATCTCTTTCAAGGCACGGCGCAAACTGGCTTTGCTGGAGGACCAACTCGTCTTTCTCAAAAGGTCAATCATCTCTTCACTCCTCCCTTGGCAGTCCAACCAGTGCAAAAGAAATCGGACAGCTCTAACTATCTCCCACTCATCTTCAGACCAATCGTTTGGCATGCCTTCTCGCAAGGTCCTTTCCAGCTCCTCACAAAGACCTGGCGAATGCCATTTGAGCTCGTCGGCGTTCCTTTCGGCGATCAAACGTAGGTTGGCAGTGCCTTTCAGCCAAGAGAGCCCTCTTTTCTCTATGCCACCTTCCATCAGTCGCATGTGACTCTCCTCATCTCTTCCATTTTTTGCAAGTTTGATGAGCTCTCCTGCCTGTAATGGCACCCATCGTGGCATTTTGTCTTTTGGAACCGCTTGCCTTGCAAGAAGCACCAGATTTAAGACTGAAGCTGGCATTGCACTGTGAGGAATGTGTTTCGGCTCTGTTGCACCTGCAAAAATAGAAACTTGACTTCGCAGAACTTCAACCACTTTGCAGACACCCTTGCGAATCCTTGACCTTTCATCCTCCAGGAAGGGCACTGGCTTCACTACCACAATCCAAAGGCTCCCATACACGAGAAACGACATGAACTGCGGATCCTGGAAGAATTCTTGCAAAGGGGTATCGTAGCTGAGCCTGCCGATGCACTCCAAGAGATTTCGCTCTGGATTCGCACTGATAGCTACGTTGGAAACTTTCATTGCCTCAACATGCACTTGCGAGGACTCCTTGGGCAGCTTCAGCTCACAATAATAATCATTCAGCGCTTCCAGTATCTCTACTAAGTTGGGAAAACAAGCTTGCTGACGTTGCCGGGGTAAGTCTTGCATCTCATCTTTGAGCGCTTTCAGCAGGTTCAATGGCAAGTTGTTCCCTTTGATGGCGCTATCGGTTCCATTCTCTGCCTGCATATCATCCAGCAGCGTGTCAACGTCTTGGAGAGTTTCTGCCTGAAGGAATGGAACCTCTGACACGATACATTCAAATCGCTGAGACTCTCGCAAACATGCAACCTTTAGTGCAATTTGACCTAGCAGACCCCTCATGTGCCTTTGGTCAGCCAGACCTATGACATTCTCCAGAGCACGGTCAGACAAGGAGTTCAGAAGATACCGAAAAAGCGGGGCAGATTGTATGTGGTCCAGCTGTCTTTTGCTCATGATCGCCTCGTAGGAAGGTAAAGTTTGCGGCGGAGGCGGCGTGAAAAGTTGGATGCGCTCTCCGGGTTGTTGGTCCACTTCGACCTGAACTGAACCTAAGGACAAGAATCGGCTGTCTTCTTCAAACTTCTTCAGCAAATCAGGAAGTTCAAACGTGCCAATCTGAAGAAGGTAGCACAGTGACTGCGCACCGTGACACCAGTCTGTCAGGCCGTGCCCAGCTGGACACATGTACACATTGATGTATTTGTTGGTTTCGTCACGTGCAAGCACGGGCTCCTGGGGAAGCTCTTCGTCGGCAACTCGGCATGAGAAGTAGAAGCAGCAAACGTGCACGTACTTTAATGCCTTTTCCTCAACACACTGCTGGACGAAAGCCATGAGCGGGATGCAATCTGCATAATGTCTTGCTTGTGAAGGTACCACCCAAGTCTGCCCGTCATTCGAACTAAGCGCATGGCCGGAATATGCCAACAAAAGAGTGCACTCCACTTTTAAGTCTTTGATGGCTTCTTTGATGCCCTCCTTTATTTCGTTGGCATTCCAAGTACTTGGCAGAACCTTCGTTCTGATTCCTATGCTTGTGAAAGTCGCTGACAAGCGTGTTGCATCTACCTCTGCTCCAGGAAGGTCCTCAAATGTTCCAAGTCCTCCTGCTCCTTCCTCTTCTTCATACTTATACTTGGTGATTCCGATCACAATGGCGAAAGCCTTACATTCATCTTGGGCCTCCGCCCTTGCTGCTTCTGAATGTCGCCTCAGCAGCAGTGTGTCCCTGCCTTCTGATGGCATGATAAAATTCGTTCCACTTGGGGGGGTCGCTCTTTTCGCCAGAAGAACAAAGCGAAGGTGGCCAGTCCGGCATCATCTAATTCAGATTCATGCAGTATCCCAAAGCTCAAGTCCCCACCTTGTTGGGGCTCCTTGATGGAAGACGATGTGATACTTTTGGTTTGAATTGGGTTGAAAGGTGACTTGCCCACATTGAAATCTTTGTCAAACCAAACACAAGGTTGCTTTTGGGGTGAGAGGCCGTGATGACTTTGGCCTTCGCCTCAGACTTGACGCCTTTGCAGCAGCCTGGAAGATCATTTGCCACAAAGGATGTCC